TTCCATTTGTCACCTTTCTGAAGAAATAACTATTTCTTTCTCTTAATAATTTGAACAGTTTTCCCATTTAAAAAACTGGATATATATAGTGGGAAAATATAGCCTAGCAGTGATTGGAAATGATGCCTACCCAAAGGACTGGACAGAAATTTTAAAAGGAGAACGCTCCTTCTTGTTCATTCTAAAATAAGAGAACTTGTTTTGAAATACAAATATCTTCATTGTTTTAGTAAGTACGCTCAGCCAGCTTTCCAATTAACATGCCATTGAGCTGAACAAGCCTTTTAGAGGAAGCTCCCATTCACTGGGGAGGAGGGGTATGGGAGAGGACAGAGACAGAGTGATAGATTAATTGATTATAACACTGTAACTACCCTCTGGATTCCTGTATCTTTTGCCAGGATAATCAACATATTATTTTGACTTGGGAGTATTTTAATTGAACTACTCACCGAAGGAATAAAAGGTCAAATCTCTGGAGTTTGTTTGATGTGCACTAGGAATTCGCTGGCCGCGTCCATGTTTTATGTACTCATAAAACTACCACAGCTGGAATGGCCTTTTCTAATTCCCAAGACATGCAGTGTGGGTTAGACTTTAAATGTTACCACCTCCAAATAAGGACTGGATTTAAATGCTAATAAGCAGGCAAGGCCATCAACCTGATATAATATAATTAAGAGTTTTCCTCATTTGGTTATATTAATTTCCATCTCTTGGTATTCTTGATTTCTGGGCAACATTGATACGTAAAATCAAATGGAGAAAGAAACTGGGCTGGGTGGGGTGTGGGAGAAAGCTGTGCTCATGAGTCCCTGCTTAAAGGGAAAAGCTTTATCGCCCTCTTATTAGACATTTCAGGATAGATTAGCCTGAAAATATAGATTGTAGGTGCTTAGCCCAAATGGAGCAGAGAAGGGAGAAAAGAAAGAGAAATTCAAGGTGACTGGTTCCTTTCAATAAAACAACAGGGCAGAGCTGAACATTTTTAGATATCTCTCAGCGTGGATTATATATTTTGAGTTACTATCCTGTAGTACCTCAATGCTCAAACTGCTCTGCCTGAAACACCTTTTTATTTTTATTTTTCTTGACCTTCCAAGGTATAAATCCAAGGAATAATATGAAGTTATTTTTTTGTTGTTGGATTCTATGGTGATTGACCCAATCCTACATGACCTTGTCCTTTTCACTCATTTTTTTTAACCCTCACCTGAGGATATGTTTTCATTGGTTTTTAGAGAAAGGAAGGGAGGGATGGAGGAAGGGAAAAAAAGAGAGAGAGTGTGATAGAGAGAGGGGGGGAGAGAAAGAGAGAAATATTGATGTGAGAGAGAAACATCGATCAGTTTCTGGTGCACACCCCGACCAGGAATAGAACCTGCAACCTTTTAGTGTAGAGGAGATGCTCCAACCAATTAAATCATCTGACCAGGGCTTCACCCATCTATATACATAAAAGCCTAAGTGACTGAACGACTGGTAGACGGGTCTCTATGACACGCACTGACCACCAGGGGGCAGATGCTTAATGCAGGAGCTGCCCCCTGGTGGTCAGTGCACTCCCACAGCAGGAGTGCTGCTCAGCTGACAGACGGGCACCAGATGCAAGCCTCTCCTGATCGGGACTGAATGGGCAGAAGCCTATAGCAGGCGCAGCGGGGCTGGGCCGGGATGAGTGGGAGCAGCAGGCAGGAGTGGCAGGTGGCATTGGACTGCCGGTTTCGGCCCAATTCCCACAGGCCATGCCGAGGGACCCCACCGGTGCATGAATCCGTGCACCAGGCCTCTAATAATTATGTAAGTAAATGACATTTATATAGTGGTTTTACTTAAATGTCTACTTTCCTACACATTATCACAAATATTCTTCATGATTCTTCATGATAATTTCATGAAGTGGGTATTATTAATGTCCTCATTTCTCAGTTAAGACACCAGTCAGGGAAGTCAAGTCTTTCCCAAGGTCACAAAGAACAAATGCAAGAGCCAGAACTTGAAGCAAATTCTTCTCACTCTAAATCCTCATTTTGGGCACTGGTAAAGGATAAATACTAAATTTCTAATCATTTTTATTCATTTCAACTCAAGTTGAACTGTCACCTCAAATTACTAACACATTCTGAACTATGTTTATCTTGGTTCTGCTTAGGAATTTTCACACTGTGTTATAACAGCATATTACAACAGCACCTCCACAACTTCAATTCTTAAATGTTGTGAGGTAAGAGATTATGAATTTCTCCTTTATCTTTGGGCTTATAGTGCCCTTTTTTTCATTCCTGACACACAGCAGGCACTCAATAGATATTAATTAAATTGAATAAAGTATGTTTTTCAATCAGTATCACAGAAAAGACAGTCCCTATATTCAGGCTCCCTAGTAAGTTCTATTTTGAAAAGAGAGTCAAGCCATTCAGCTGTAAATGGGTGTGAGGTGATCAAGGGGATTCTTGGGGAACTGAATTCATTTCTCTGCCCTTTACTCAGTTTCTTCTTGGGCACTTTACAGAGACATGCTTTTGCTTCCTCCAAGGAAACCTCCCTACCTGCCATAATATTATTACTTCTAAAATGAGAATATACTTTTTCAAAATCAGGTACTTACTCTCCGGATCCATAAAGATTTCCATAGGTATTGGAGTCATTACAACTCTGCTCCTGATTTTCAATAGTATAATTAGATTGGTAAAAATCAGAGTCAAATTGTCCCAAGTTTGACATCCTGAAAAATAAGAATATTTTTTACCGCAAAGTTTACAAGTCAATAAAACATCTTTTGGGATATCACAAAGACTGACATGTGATGATAAATGGGTTCTTACCAGAGAACACTATATTCTTTGCATGAGGTAGATTGGGTATTGGGGGAAGGATATGGAAATGTGTTCTAAAAAGTCATTTACAAAACATGTATCTGCAATGAACTTTTCTGAAGTTTTCATTCACCAGGACTATGACTTTGCCTAAATTGACATTAATTGACCTGAAGAAGCTAACATTTTGCCCCAAATACCTTCTTCTCAGCAGTTTAAGAGAAAAAGCCTAAGACTTGGTACACATCTAAAGGTTTTCTTTTAAACAATGTCAGTTCCTTATTTCAATTATTATTTATAAGTAATAATTTACATTTAAAAGTTTTACATTTAGGCATATATATGTTATTGTTGCAAAGTCGAAAAGCAAATGGCTGATAATAATAATAATACCATTTCATTTTTATTTTTTCCTGTGCTAACAGCCTCTCCGCTCCCTTCTGACTGAGTCAGAGGGGAAAGGCTCAATTCTGCTAAGAAAACAGTCTGTCTTCCTATAAACTCTCTACATAGTTTCTACTCACTTTGGAGAGTGAAGGGAGTATATGATTGATTTAGACCTAACAAATAGGCATATCAGTGGGAAGAAGAAAGATTGGAGAGGAGGAAAAGGTAGAGGAAGTAATAGTAGCTCTTTAGATGAAAATTAGAGAATGGAGTAGAGAATCTTTTCAGTTGGACAGATGTGGTTAGTCAATTCAACATTTTATCTTTGCTTTTCTTTGAAAAACTTTTTATTTCAAAATAGTAAATTTTGAAATCACTAGGAGTAATCTATATAGTTATAGTAATTTGTGGAATAATACTTGCAATACATTTCAAATGCATCTCATAACAGCCTTAGCTCTAAGAGCCTCATTAATCAGAAATACTCAAGCACAATTGTCAAATATATAAAATTTTCTCACTTCAGTACAAGTACAAAAAGCTCTGTAAAATTAGGTGCAGTGATTCATATACCTGATTTAATAAATCAAGTTTTTTTCACTAATATTGAGCATAAAAGTAGCTATAAATTATGTAAGCTAAAATCAGGACTCAGAGGATGTTAAATATTTTAACAACTTATAATTTAAAGAATTTAAAATTTAATAGCATTAACTTTCTCAGTCCATTAAAATGCTATTATAAAGCATAGAGAGTAATTTCACTGGAGAATACACGTAAGTTTTCATAACATGCAAAGCTTTACGTAATATGACTATTGACAATAAAGTCCTTACATAATCCATCTTTATATTTTGTTTAAATGCCAAGGTTTTTTAGAAGGATCAGACACATACCTTTATATTATTTTATGTCGAAAAGTCCTCCAACAAATGTTGCTCTGCTAGAGAAATTTATAACAGACCAGTTTGTGAAAAGATGACCTGCTGGCTATATATATGTTTCTAAATTTGACTCTGACACTGAACACATGCTTGCCAAAAGCCAAACACAGTATCTTATTACACTTGTTAAAGTTTACAAACACAGTGAAAGGCGAAGAAACACAATTTGATGAAGTGAAATGGTAGGTTCGTTTCCTGGTGGGCACATCCCAAAAAGAAACGGAACTCTGACTTAACCCCTTCCCCAATAATTTTTTTGTTAAAAACGTTTCTTTTTCAGACTAATTTTTTTATTTTGGTTCTATATAGTATTTTTGATGCTGGTTATGAAAACAGTTTGTAACTCGTCTTCCTATAAACCATATTTTTTTTTACCATATTTTCTTAGTATACTCGTCGACGACTGAAAAAGAACATTTTGTGAAAACGAGTATACATGTTTCTGCCGGGGAAGGGGTTAAGATCATTTATTTGAGGCAAACAATGTAAGAGAAAAACCCTTGAGCTTTACTGCCTATAAGAATAAACCTAGACAAGATTTCCTAATAATATGCAGTACAAATCAATATATGGGTAAAAAAAGTGGGGAATTGAGAAGTACAAATTGTTTGTTACAGAATAGCCATTGGGATGTAGAGTGTAGCATAGGGAATATAATCAATAATATTCTAATAAGTAAGGTATCTGATGGGTGTGAGATTTATCAGGATGATCACTTAGTAAGTTATGTAATATCTAATCACTGGGGTGTACATCTGAAACTAATATAAATATATATGTCAACTGTAATTGAAAATTAAAAAAAATGATAAAATACATATACACTAGAGGCCCAGTGCATGAAAATTCATGCACTGGAGGGGGGGTGTCCCTCAGCCCACCTGTGCCCTCTGGCAGCCTGGGAGCCCTCGGGGGGTGTCCACCTGCCTGCTTAGGCCTGCTCCCTATGGGAATGGGCCTAAACTGGCAGTCAGACATTCCTCTGGCAGCCTAGGAACACTCAGGGGATATCTGACTGAGGGCTTAGGCCCAGTGGGAGCAGGCCTAAACCACAGTCAGACAGCCTTAGCACTGCCATGGAGGCAGGAGAGGCTCCCACCACTGCCGCTGTGCTTGCAGCCATCAGCCAGCTTGAGGCTGGCTGATCCCCTGGGGGATCGGGCCCAAGCTGGCAGTCAGACATTCCTCTGGCAGCCTGGCAGCCCTCGGGGGATATCCACTTGCCAGCAGGGAGCAGACCTAAGCTGCCGTCCGACATCCTTATTGCTGCTGAGGAGGCAGGAGAGGCTCCCGACACCACCGCTGTGCTGGCAGCCATCAGCTTGGCCTGTGGCTGAGCAGAGCTCCCCCTGTGGGAGCGCACTGACCACCAGGGGGCAGCTCCTGCATT